CATTATTGGTTATTCTTCAATCTTCATACAAAAATCCATCAAAAATTCAGAGGCCTAGGCCTGAAAACTTAACAAATAAACATCTAATAGGTAGAGCTATTTTCCCATTTATAAAATTAGGTTATTGAACATTTATTTTGCTCAGAATATCAGCCCCTATCCTTATGAACTGTATAAACAATAATTTGAAACTTCACTATCACGTGCTGTTAACGAGGCCTGTGCATCATGCGGGTGCATGTTTAATTAACATCAATATACATCGTTCGTAGCTACAGTTTTAACTATTATTAAGAGGTAAAGTCCGTTTGTCTGTCTTCACCATAGAGATATAGAGAGATGCCAACTAATGCGCTGAGTACGAAACACACACAAAGTAATCAAAATATGTGCTCATTATCCACTGCGGTATCAGTACTCAAGTTCTAAGTATAGAGAATCTCTATACTTAGAACTAGGTACCTAAGTTTTGTTAAATACTTATTTCAAGCTATGGGTGACATGACATGCCTCAAGAAATTTAATCCCAATTATATTCAGCTGAAGCGATTTAGTAACAATTTTTCACGCAACGTAACGTGTAGTAGTGACGGTTGTGATCATAGCGATGGTGACATTTTGCATGGCAAAATCGCTACCTTTTCATCACAGATTCTATTGTAACTAATTTTAACTGACAAGCTCATACTCCTGTCTCACATTTCTATTGCGTTTTATCTAAAACTAGTAATTTAGGACGAATCTGCTCGTTAGATTTCCTATTATCACGAAAAGTCCCTCGATAATTTCTAATAATTCGGGTCATTGAATAATAAGTAACATTTATATCAAAAATCTGATTAGTAATAAGTCTTTTAGCGCTTAACTAAGTGCCTGAGGTATGATATGAGAACGGCACGGGCGGGTATTTTGAGACGTCGAACACATCAGCGAGACTTTATTTCTTTCAGATTTGTATGCTCTCCCCCCCCCCCCATACCTCAGGGCTATGAAGAACACAGATCACAGAAACTAAAGGGAGTGACAAGGGGGCGTGGTCGATGTCGAGCAATATGCCCAAAAACAGAACACATTGCTGCAGACGTCATAATGTAAATAGTTTACATTGCTTGCGTAGTCTGAAGATTATTCGAAAGTTGAGTACTGATACCGCAGTGGATAATGAGCACATATTTTGATTACTTTGTGTGTGTTTCGTACTCAGCGCATTAGTTGGCATCTCTCTATATCTCTATGGTGAAGACAGACAAACGGACTTTACCTCTTAATAATAGTTAAAACTGTAGCTACGAACGATGTATATTGATGTTAATTAAACATGCACCCGCATGATGCACAGGCCTCGTTAACAGCACGTGATAGTGAAGTTTAAAATTATTGTTTATACAGTTCATAAGGATAGGGGCTGATATTCTGAGCAAAATAAATGTTCAATAACCTAATTTTATAAATGGGAAAATAGCTCTACCTATTAGATGTTTATTTGTTAAGTTTTCAGGCCTAGGCCTCTGAATTTTTGATGGATTTTTGTATGAAGATTGAAGAATAACCAATAATGGTCACAAAAAATTAAGGAAAACTTAAAAATGTCAAGTTAGTAACATGGACGTTTATATTTATACTGTAAGTTAAAAGAGTATAAAGTGTTTCAGAATAGATTTTACGACTGAGATTTTCATCGATTGAAGCGTGAAAAAATCTGTGACAGTCTGAAATCCAGATTTTCATGTATTTCTTTTTTAATGCTTTTTATTTTACCTTTGATAAAAGAAACAAATAATAAGTACATTGCAACAATCGAGAGATATTTAGCGAGCTTACTGAGAATAACTCTTTTCATATGAATGCAAGGGATTTACAGTTATTTTTAGCTCATGCTAGTTTAAAATCTCTCGAACCATTAAATAAAACTTGTTTTTGAAACAATCGAAATGTCTAGAAATAGCGTATACTCATAGAACATTGTATAATGAAGGGACAACTGGGTACCTACCGTAGGTATGAGATATTTTTAGCTAAGAAGTTAAGGTCAGGTAAGATCACGCAAACAAATCTGATGGTACGCTGGGATTTTATTAGATTTGACGTAAGCAATAGTTACTTTTAACACGGTAAAGTGATAAACGCACTTAGGTGATAGTGTGTGTAAAAGAAGCTTAACTAAATAAAATAATTTGGCACGTTTGACATAGACAGACAAAAATAAAAAAAAATGCACAGAAATAAGTAAGTAAGTAGTCGTAGTAGTGGTCGATCTATTGAAAACCAATTACCGAGGCACTTGTTAGCAATGCAATTAAAAAAGCCCAAAGTGATGAGAGTCCAGCGTTTTTCTAAATAGAATAGAATAAATAATTTATTTGACACAGAGACAACAAAATGTATACCCGCCAGCTAAGAGCTCGAATGTCGACTGATTTTCATGCTCATCGTCACAAACATTTTTTCTGAAAGCAGCATGAAGTTATATTCTCTCCCCGATAACCTTCGAAAGGCAATAAATTATCCGGTAGGACTCCCCAACATTTCCGCTCAAATAGACTATTGCTACAAAAATGCTGCCGGAAAAAATATCTAGGAAATATTTTCAAGAATGACATATCTTTTAGACACAGGGCATATGGATACTAGAATGATTTTCGAAGGTCATATGAGTAAGCTTAATCAGTAAAACTACTACTACTATCCGGTATCCGGCCGGATACCGGATAGTAACTCACTATCCGGCCGGATACCGGATATTAAAAAACTACAATAATTTCCTATTAATAAAATGAAATACATTAATCTTTGAGTTAAACATCAATATAATGGCTTATACGGATTTTATTTAAAGTCCAAAAGTTACAAAAAGCCACATTAAGGCCTTTAAAAAATCTTATTTCTTTTTCTGGGCTATTCACTCTAATGACGAATACATAAATACTACCCGTTCGCGCTAAGTTTGCCGGTCCGTGGAATGCGCGTCCCCTCCCCCAACCGCGATTAATCGCAATTAGTTGGTGATTAACGCAATTAATGTGTCTTATTTTACGCAAAAACACAATTTTTATCAATAATAATATATAAAAAATATTTTAAATATAACTAGTTTGATAAAGTTATAGACGATTCCCGGACGATTCGAGTGACGTCATATCGCCAGCGGCAAAGTTAAAACGAACGGATAGTAGTAAATATCTGTTAAGTCCAAATATTGCCAAATAAAATAGGCAATCTTTTTTTCACTGATGGTCTGATGTCATGATGCAGTTCAGTCAGATTACGCAGCAAGTAATCTAATTTTATTTTCGCTATTCAATCACACACTTACGATGGCAACCGAAATCGCTCGAATTGATCTGCCCCCTAGATAAGTTGCAAAATCTGACATTCTATTCGAACTGATTCGATTTTCAAAAAAGTGTGACTAGTCTACTAATAGACCCACTGATCGCGTTCGAAGCACCTGTGCGGCGCTAAACTCGTCACGACATGCAACGAGACAATTGGCCAACTATCCGGCCGCCGGATATCCGGCTATCCGGCCTAGCAGCTGGCCGGATATCCGGTATCCGGTATCCGGCCAAACAACTATCCGTTTCATCTCTAATAAAAACTCTTTATAATTGTGAACATGGGATTTTTTATAGCTGCATGAATGAATTATATCCGAAGAAAGTTGAAATTATATAGGTACTCAGTGTATTTTTAATTTAAAGATTTTTGTATACCCCTAGACTCTTCAACCCGTCTGGCTAACGTGGCGAGTGTAGGGCAAACTCTCTATTTGCCTTTGGTAAATTAGAGGGTTGTGCTCCTGCAGTGGAAACTAAATGAACTAATCTGATGTGTGTGACTGAATCAAACACAGCCAAATAGTTTGAATTTAAGCAGCTTATGACAACAGCATTTGAACTATTTACATGTTAGTGATAAGATACGTTCAAAAAGGATCAACTCCAATTATTACAATACTCCAAAGAAACGCAAAGCTTTGACTGGTACCAGCCGACAAACGAACCTAAACTATATCGGCGCACGCGCATTCCCGCGGGTCATAAACAAAGCGCGGTGGAAAGCGCTGGACCCGCGCCAGGGCAACAGATAGCGTTGGTAACTGTTATTGAAATGCTAGTAGGTACCTAATCAGTTCACCAAATTGTAACCGGAGAAAGGGTAAGGACCCAAATCCCATGAGTTCTATGACAACTCCGCGATAGAATATGTGATCAAAGAGTCCTGGCTCACGAATAAAGAGATGAAAATCGCGGAGAGCCTAAAAATCCGTATAATGATAACTTTAAAAAAAAAAAACCGACTTCAAATGCGTGAACACAAATAATACCTATTCAACAAAAAAATAATCGTTTAAATTGGTTCATAATCGGCGGAGATATTGCGTATAAAAAAGTTCATCCTCAATTTTCCACCCTTGGGGGTGAAATATTTTCTTCAAATTCGCATGAAACCACCCTTTTGCTCGTTACAGCGGGCGAGGGCTGCCCTCCCTCCGCGCCTCCGGCTTTTAAATTACACTCTAGGGGTAGGGCAGACAAGACTACGTGGAGTCGGTTTTGCAGCGATTCGTTTCTGTCACGTTAGTTTTGTGGCACAAAATATTGCCTGTTTTGGACCATTTCAAATTAATTTAATATTAAAATACGATTTAATACGAATATAGACATCATGTATTTCAATAATATGGATAAATACACTTATGAGTAATACATTTATGAAAACATATATTAGGATACATCACATTTATGAATATTATAGTTATTTATTCGAATGATTATGAGTTTCGATCATTAGTATAGAAAAATATATGAAAACAAATATTAGTAAAAACTAAGTGTATGATTAGTGATATTATGAATATCAATGATTATGTCTTTAAATATGTAGGTTTTAAATTTTTTATGAAGAATGATCATTATGGTATCAAATTGTATGAGAAATATTTTCGGACCTCCAATGATAGGAATTGAAAAGTTATGTAAGAAAATGCGTTACCTATTTACAAACTATCATTATATGAATTTCATCCTAATATAAATTGCAGAATAGAGTATTTATAATCACATCATTTGCTTTTACATATACTATAGCTTATCTTAAGAATATTGTGGAATATTAAAATTTTGGTTAAGTCGTTAGTTTATTTTAATTGACGGTAAAAATGTTTGTATAACACGCCCATAGCCCAAGTATAAGGCCCAGAACACACGGTGAAACGCAACTGCAACGAAACTGCAACTACTAGTTACTTTTGAGTTGCATCTAAGTTTCTGCCACAGCGTCCGTTGAGACCACACAATATGACGAGACCAGTTTGAAACCGGTTTGAAACGCGTTGCAAGTGACGTTTTATAAAATGACTCAACTTTTGAAGTTGTAGCTGTTTAACTTTAGAATCGATAGAGAAACGCTCTAGTATTCTTAATAACGTATGTATTGCGATTGTATAGCTCTAGCTGCCATTACAAACAGCAGCGATTGTACCACGATAGCATTGCTGCAATAAGTCGCCGTGTTTAATGGAATTTACCTATCACAAGCACATAGTTTTGCTGGATATTGTCTGTTCAATACCAATACATCAAGAGGCATAGACATTAGGTATCGGCTTTAATTGGCCTTATTTGTGAGCGAAATAAGGGCTACCGTATTTTATGCTTACTAGTTGGCAACACTGGCGAGATAAGGCTTCACTCTCTACAGTGGCTTAGAGTGTAAATGCGATAGTCCTCCCGCTTCAGTGCTCATCAGTTGGCGCTCCTAGCGAGTGACATGATCTTACTCTAAAGTGGCGCCACCGGGTAAGCAAATTCTCCCACGGAGACATCCAGTTTTTTGCAGAATCTCGTTTAGTAGTGTACGTGTTTTAATACTAAAAATTGACACGAACATCCCGTTTGCAATTTGGTTTTGTCATTTAACTGGACGAGTGAAAATTGGATCCAGTTTAATTACAAGTATTGTGTTACTAGTGTAAACACACAAGTCCAGTAATGCAGGATTTATTTATTTATACTTTAATGCCAAAATTTTAACATTAGGCGAACTTAATGCCATTAATCCATAAGGATTGCCGCGGGAAAGGTCCTAAGTGGCGCCAACCAGTGAGCAAATACGGTAGCCTTTATGATCTGTTGAACTGTGTTTACATCGTGAGGTCAGAAGGCGGTGGCAAAGCCCTGGCGCTGCTGAGACACGTACACGCGGCGGCAATCCATGTCGTCCGCCGGCCGGTTGTAGGCCTGCCACACTGGTGTCCCGATGAACAGCCGCTTCACTTTGATGTGGTTCTGGAACATAGGTAGAGATAAGATAGATCTATTTTTCATCAGGTCATTAGTCTTCACGACGACCCTCTCAGATTTATAAAAGGCAAATGGAGTATATAAGCTTCAATCGGCTTCGATTGAAATGACAATGACAGGACGCGCGCGCGTCCTATGTATAGATGACCCACGCTGAACTGTCCCACCAAACTCAATGACAGGGGGGCGCTACCATCGTTCAACTGTATGGTTTCCAACATGGCAAAAATCGGAACCAGCGATCCGGTATTGACGGTGGCGCCCCACTGTCAATGTCATGGATAGGACAGTTCAGTATTTTGGAACTATAGTGATCGCCATCGCCGACGCGATCTGCATGCGTTGGTTTGGCTGAAGCTTTAACATACACTCGCCACTGATTTCTGGCTAAACAGTTTTTTGTAGGCTTAGGAGGCGCGCTGCGATAAGCTTTTATCGCGCCAGTTTATCGATTTTACGCGATAGCTCATACGTTGGTCGTCTAAAATCATCGATAGTATTTTATCACGACGCACATCCTAATCCGGCTGAACACTTATACACTTACAATATTAGATTAATTTTATCAGGCCATTTAGTCTCCACTGCAGGGACATACGACCCTCTCTAATTTATCAGAGAAAAATAGAAGATTAGGATTTAGGCATATTTATTACACTCCTCATCCCCATGTTGATTTCTCGTAGGTCGTTTTCAGGACACTTATTTGCAGTGTTTTTTGGCATTTAGCCTTAGTTATTTTGTGTATATCTCTAGTCTCTACCACACAATTTACCATAAACAAATAACAAAGGTGTAAAATCTACATAGATAGAGTCAATCATTCCAAGAACCCTTTCGCAACTTCTCTTGTTTGGGAAAAGAAATGTTATTATTTAAATTATACCTTGGTGTCAAGAGTGAACCGATGGTAGATGGCTTTAGGCAGCACCACCAGGTCGCCAGGAGTCACCAGGATGCGGATCCACTGGTCTTTGTCGTCGCGCACGTCGAAGTACCCAGAGCCTTCCAGGACGAACCTGGAATAAGATTTTGGAAGCTTTAATTTACATAGCCAAAAGTTATGTTTAACCGACGAAAAAGCGAAAAACGGAAGTTCTCGAAACGAAACGTATAAGGGAGAGTCCGCTAATTTGGACCAGTTTTTTTCAATCCCATTTTACACATTAGTTTTCTTTTGTTTTTGCTAATGTCCATGGTATATAATAAAAGATACATTATTCAACTTACTATTTCATAAGTATTAATTAACATGATTGTTGTATATTTAGCACAAATCAACAAAGTACGAGTTCAGAGCTTCGGTCCAATTTAGCCAACCGGTTGGATAATTTGTACCACAGGGTTACTAAATTGAATTTCAATAAATTTCAAGCCTATAAAAAAACTATGGCAAAATATTATATGATACATTCTTAACAAATTAGGAAACGAAAAGGAACAGTAGTTAATAACATAGACAATCGATATTGTTTTACACGTTATCACGATTTTGAGTACAAGTTTTGTAATTCCAATTATCGTAACGCACACTTGTACCTAATCTACTTCGCCAGTCTTTTGCTTTCATTTATTGTTAGTCAAACATAACTACGCTATTATAACTTCAAAATATGATTTACTAAAAAAAATTTCAAAATCCTTTGNTATTAGAAACACCCTGTGATTAAATTTAACAAAATTACAAACTAAACATGTATTGTCAAAAGTTACTTGAAAACAATGAAAAAATACTTTTCAAAATAAAACACACGTGTTTGTTGTCACGGCAAAAACCACATGGCCGATATTAATTTATTTTAGTTGTGCATCGCTGAGTGTTGCAATTACAGACATTCAATAAATACTTTACGAAATATGAGGGTGGGGTGGTACAATTTACCCGGCGGTACAATATACCGAACTCTCCCCTATTTGAGTTACAATTAAGGCATAGTTAAGTTACATTCTGAAAGTTTATTAAATTAGTCCGAGGCTGGCATGGAATGCTTTAGACATGAAGAGGCTCTAGGAATCTGCCTATTTATTTCAACTTTTATGCTTATAACACTCACCTAAAAGTAAATGTAGTAAAATTTTTCAACAGAATGTAAGAGGTGATAAATTCTATTCAAAAGAGTTTAGCCTCCTATATTCTGTTGAAATATTTTCTTCCTTATTTCTCCTGCACCTAATAGGCTTTTAAAAAGCCCTCCCAAAATTCTCCCAGTGTCCCATTAATTTTAACCACAGCTTTGGGACACACATTGTGTAAAATAATTTCAATATTCAGGACCATTCTAACTCTACCTGATTTCTTCATCAGTGTGAATATGTTCGGTGTAGAATGACTTCAATTTCTCTTCGTATGCTTGCCCGAAGCATTCCTTGGAGCACACCAGCTCATCTTCGTAGGTGTAGCCTCGGTCCTTCTTGATTTTGTCGAACACACCATCTGTAGCGTAGGTGTCCACATTCAGCTGGAATCACAAAATTAGAACTTTGATGAACGAATTTAGATAGATTTTGGCAATTGATTTTTTTTATTTTTATAGCTAGAAAGCAATTAAAGGAAAAAGAAAATACAATGTTTGTATATGGGCTAATGCAAACAATAATAACAGATTAACAGTCATTCTTTAATTTACACAACATGACTTCAACCATGGCTTTCTGGAAAGATTGGGATTATTCCCAACAAATACCACATAAAATTGTGCCATTAATTTGTCCTGCTTGAGTGACTGTCTGGCCATAAAAACCTTATAGTTTTAAGGAAAATAGACATTGGGCACTAAAGGAAAACATGCTAAAGACAACAATATCTGTACCTATAACTCTAGATTATGATAAAATATGTTTGAGATTTTCCTCTTCAGATTGATGAATGTGCTATTCACTCATAGATACTTTTTCGTTAGACCTTATTCTTATAGGACAAAGTTAGTACCTCTTAAATAGCAGTTGAAGAAAAAAAAGGGAAATAAAAAATAATTAAATTAAGTACCTAAACAAGTGATTATTCTATTCATGCATGTGTGTTGTAATTTAAGTCTTAATCCTGGTCAAATACTTTTATCAAATTAACTAGGAAATGAATGAAACATTTATACTTTTGTTCTAGAAAAGATAACATTGACCTAAGAGAGTTATAGAAAATCAGCCATGTTAAATACTTTGAATATACAGGGTGGCTGGTAATAAGCGCACACCATAATAAGGGATTATAAGTAAAGGATATTTGCAGTAAATGTAATTATGATTATGCATAAAAAATACAACCTATGAATTATTTTAATTTAATATTGACAAATCATAAGACATTATAATCCCATACAAGTATGCTCACTCATTAAAAGTCACTCTGTATAATATTCAATTAATAATAATTTGTAAACAATCGTGATAACGTGAGAAGAGGATTGATAAGTAATATCAAGTCATTGTTCGACGTATAATAGTCAATAATATAAAGGAACACGAGTTAAATTGTAGAAATACGGATTGGAAGGAAATTACCTAAGTTAAACCTTGTTTTTCTTATTGGTAAAAGGAAACTAACATGTTATTGAACAACAATAAACTTACGACGAATATTTCCACACCGGTTTTCTTGTACAATTCGTCGAGAGAGATGAACTCTGGTGGGTTCCTGTGGTGTTCTAAGCGTTGATCACTTGTCTCGTCGTCCATATACCACGCCTTGTTCATGTTTAACTTTTTTAAAGGTATTTAAAAACTAAATAAATTCTTGCGAAACTACGCAACGCAGCAAGCAGCAATCGCACGCAAATTGACAACCAACTGTCAATGTCAAAAAACTAGTTGCCAGGTTGCAATTATGAATTTACCCCATATTTTAATTTGGACTAACCCAATCACAGATGGCGCTTTTGTAGTCTAAGCATTTTTTAATTATTTTTTTTTCAAGTTGTAAGTTTTGGTACGCGCTCTCTCATTTAATCGTTTTACTGTTGCTTAGGTCTTAGTGAATTTATTTTAGAGATATCACTGGCAGTGCCGTATTATCCATAAGGCACTTTAGGCCAGTGCCTGGGGGCCCACTATGACCAGGGGCCCAGCACTCTCGATTATAAAATGAAAAAAAAAATGTTAAAGATCATTTTTATGTAACAAAACTCAAACCACCTTAAAACTTCGTCTTATTTTGGTTTACACATTCAATCGTCATAATTATTTGGATGTTGTGGAACCTAATTCATTTTCGTAACGTTGGCATTACTGCTTTGGTTTACATGACAGGTCGACCGTCGACACCCTTCAGAGGCTAAAAAGCCTCACTGCGGAGGCTAGGGAGAGGGGTGACTGTGGGTGTGTTGGCTGTATTATTCGATATAGCCAACGCTTTCAATACCATCCCTCATTCCACCATACTCTAGGCACTTCAACATCACAGAGTGCCTCAGTGTCAGTACCTTCGAGCGCTGCTGGCCGATTACTTACGGAATCGCGAAGTCCTGTATGTTAACAGAGACAGCCAGCTCTAACGGCGCGGCGTAGCCAGCGGGGTTCCGCAGGGTTCGGTGCTCGGTCCACTCTTGTGGAACCTAGGCTTCAACTGGCTCCTCCGGGGCGTCCTTCTCGCGGGCATGAGTTTCATATGCTATGGGAAGACATTTGGGGCCGCGGCACGGCTGGCGGCACATTAGTCGCTCACAGAATACC